GTGCCACCACCTCCCGGCTTTAGGTGGAATTTAATTTAGGAAACACTCTGTTCCCAGCTAAGACATCCGACTTCTTAGGATGAGGACAGTGTTTTTTTTTTTTTTCTCTTTTGTGATATGTGATATGATGGTCACCTCTTTCAAGGCTAGACGTGAAGAACGTGGCAGGGCTGCCGTTTGTTTGTTTGTTTGTTTGTTTGTTTGTTTTTGTTTGTTTGTTGTTTGTGGTGTGGAGGATTGAGCGCAGGGCCTCACATAGACTAAGCAAGAGCTTTAGCACCCAGTCCTTTTTTATTTTTCATTTTGAGACCGGGTCTCAGTAAGTTGACCAAGCTGACCTTGAAGTCCCTCTATAGCCCAGGAAAGTCTTGAACTTTGATCTTTAAGTCTCAGACTTTGGTTTTGGGGTTTTTTTTGTTTTTTGTTTTTTCAGTTTTTCAAGACAGGGTTTCTCTGTGTAACTGGCCTGGCTGGTCTGGAACTCAGAGAGATCTGCCTGGTTCTGCCTCCTGAGTGCTAGGACTCAGATTCTTGTGGCTTCATAGGTCACATATCAGTCCTTGGAGTTTGTGTCTGTCATCTAAGTAAAAACTCCCCAGGTTTCTCAGTCCCTTCCCCTCTTCCTGATGTGAAGTTCCTCAGTGATTCCATTGGTGCCCACTCTCCGTGTCTGTGTTCAGCCCTGTGACTGTGGGGCCTGACCTCTACAGTGCACTATATCAGTCTGAACGTGGATTTGGTCACTGGGCAGCTCCTAAGAGCAAACTCAAATTATTACTGTAATGAGGCAGGATTTATTTCCTAGACATCTTGTGCTAGAGAGAATGTTGAACCTGGTATTATGAACACACATTGGACTGCTTCCAGTTGAGACAGGGCAGGTATTTCATGAAGGGCTGAGAGATGCAAAAAATGTGTTATAGTTACATCACGGTCCTGTAAGGATGGAGGGGGCTCATTTCATCAGTCTTCAGATTCTGGGTAGTTGTTTTCACTACATCTCATTTCTCCCCCACAGGCCTCTGATTCAAGAGAAGATTAAAGTTCTGGGGGAAGCCGGGCTTTCCGAGACCAATTTCTCAGAAATGACAGAAGCCACTGATTACCTCTACAAGGTAACGACAGCACATGACTCCTCATCGCTATATAAAGCGAGGCAGTGGGCTAGCTGCTGAGCTCTCGGGTCCGATGGGGGAGGTGTCAATCACGTCTGTGTCGGGGCCCAGGGTTGGGGTCCAGCCCCAACCTATCGAAGGGTCCCTGGAAGGGCGGAGTGAGGAATTGAGAAATAATAGGAAGAAATATAGATGTAAACGGAGAGAAAGACAGACACACAGGATAGCTTCCGGAGGCCCTGGGTCAATACCCATCAGCCTTGAGTTTATTTCTAATGGGATTTTTTATACTAGCAAGGGGAGAGGCAAAAGACCTCCCCCTTTCAAGATCAGAGCACAGCATACAACCAAGTGTAGACCCTTCAAAACACCTGGTAACCACACCCCGTGGTTAAGCATCTTGTTATCAGGCCTTGAAGTGTAAGACACTGGTAGCCATGCCTTTGCACCCTATTATACAGCCTTGGAGAACAACGTTAACTCTGACTCTCTGACCTTGAGTCAGACCACAAGTTGGGATCTCTGTGGGTTCCCATACTTCTGGGGTGTCCTTCATCCCTGGAGCTGGAAAGGAAGGGCGGGCTTGTAGTCATTCTGTTCATCTGTGTGCCTGGCTTATGAGGAAGTGCTGGAGGTATCTCCTGCTGCTTCTCACTTGCCTAAAGACTCCACATCCAAGGCTGAGCTGCCGTTCGTTCATCAGGCCATAAGAAAAATAGGCAACACTCCTCATGGCAACTGTTAGGTTGTCTCCTAAGTACGACAACAATACCAGCCGCACAGCAGGGCCTCCACAAACTGTCCCAGCATAGTCATATGGCATGTGAAATCAGCCCACGATAGAAGTCTTTCCACCTCAGCCCACTGGTCCTTCTGTAGCATCAGCGCTCCTAAAGAGTGTAAGAGGCCAGAGAGCATCCTCCCGTGACTGGTGTACTCTGTCAGAGGTGCCCAAAGGAAGCTGCTTGGCCCTGGAGAGGGTGAAGCCATCATGCCTTGCTGCGTCCTACATGGCTTGGTCCTGGAAACCTAACTGGGATAACTAGGAAATGGAGAAAGGACAGATACACAGACCACATACAGAATAGCTGGATCAGGTGGGCCGTGCCAGAACCTCACGGTGTTTATTGCGTACAGCCTGAGAACCGGGGTTAGCTAGTATCGGTAGGGGCTTATGTGAGGAGCAGTCCCAGATTACACTCATCCTGGAGGAGGAAGTGCAGCTGGTAGTTTCTGCACACACTGGTCATTCGTCTGTAAGTACTCGAACTTGCACATGCTGTCCGGAGGAGGCATTGCCGTTTCCGGGGGGTCCCTGACGTAGCCATGTCCATGTCAACAGCACGCATTCACCCGGACTTCATCTGCCACTTTTCATTCACTCAATGCTTCCTCCACTCTGTGTGAAGGAGATACTGTAGAGCAGGTGGCTAAGTCTTAAAAGTCAGAGGTTCTGATCACTCATTTATTCTTTAAAAAAAAAAAATCCACCTGTGTGCGTTACTATTGGAGTAACTGGCTTTTGAGATAGGCTCTCTGTCTCCCAGGCAGATCTCGAACTCAAGCTCCTCCTGTCTCCGCATTCTGAGAGCTAGCGGGTTATAGGCCTGAGATGGCACATTCAACAGACCGTATTTTTGAATGTTGATGATAACTTAGCCTTTTAGATAAAAACAGCAACTAAGACACCAGTAACACAGCCTTGCCTTTAAGCTGTGAAAGCACTGATTCATCTGGTGGTGATTGTACTAAGTTAATAATGACTTCTGAAAAGAAAGAGGCTTTTGGAGGGATCTTTCATGACAGGGTCTTCCTGTGCAACTCTGGTTATCCTAGATCTCACTCTGTAGCCCAGGCTGTCCTTAAACTCAAGAGATCCGCCCGCCTCTGCCTCCCAAGTGCTGGGATTAAAGGTGCACACCACCACCGCCCGACTAAAAGAGGCTACTTCTAAAGGATTCTCAGCAAATCTTTTCTTCATCCTGGCCTTTCCCTCAGAAACGTTGAATCCCTTAAAAACTCTGCCCAAAGTACAAGTGCAGAGTGATGGAAATGAGATTTATCAGTATTTCTTTTTTTTTTTTTGGTTTTTTTGAGACAGGGTTTCTCTGTGTAGCTTTGCGCCTTTCCTGGAGCTCACTTGGTAGCCCAGGCTGGCCTCGAACTCACCGAGATCCACCTGGCTCTGCCTCCCGAGTGCTGGGATTAAAGGCGTGCGCCACCACCGCCCGGCTCAGTATTTCTTTTGATTAAAACTTTATCAGCTTACCTATTTTTACTAGGATGGGGCTAAGAATTTCACTAACAATTGGAAAAAGAAAGCACTGCCTCCTTCATGGAGACAGAAGAAGCAAAAGGAGCTTATGTCAGTATGCCGGCCTTCCTTCCTCCCCAGAGGGGATGATAGAATAGTCTCATCTTGGAACCTGTTTCCAGTTAATTCCGTGTGCTCCCGTTTGTGAACAGAGTTGTCAGCCTCATAATGAAATGGGCGTGAGCAGGTATTTCTGCTGCTCTGGCCTGGAAACCTTGCACGGTTTCCTTGCCTTGCACTTCTTCTCATAGGGGCCGATGAGCATATCCTTTGGGAGGACGTGTAGTGCATGCTAACATCAGCCCTAATGGTCTTTACTATTACTTCCTGTTCTGAAAGTCTGGGACCCTAGGGCACAGGTTAATGGAATAGTCTAGAGTTCTTACATGTCATGCTCCCCTGATCAGTTTTCAAGGAAGCTCATCAGTGCTGAGGAATTCTGTTAAGAAATAGTGACCTAATGGTTGCGCACGCCTTTAATCACAGCACTTGGGAGGCAGAGCCAGGCGGATCTCTGTGAGTTTGAGGCCAGCCTGGTCTACAGAGTGAGTTCCAGGAAAGGTGCAAAGCTACACAGAGAAACCCTGTCTCAAAACAAAAACAACAAAAAAAAAGAGAAATAGTGACCTGATTATAGAGAGCCAGAAAGCCAGGGACGTAACTTTAGACTTGAGGAGGACATAGGAGAGCCCATGCCGTAACAAAGGGAGTCTTGTTAAAGGATTGCAGGGGAATACCATCGGGTTGATACAGACGGCAAGAACCTGAGGCAGAAATGCAGTTGAGCTCTTGAAGTCTGCGTATACCAAGAGCTGTGGCTCAAGTGATGGGTAACTGGAGGGGCTGGAGAGAGGGTTCAGTGGTTAAGAGTGCTTACTGCACTTCCAGAGGACCAGAGTTCGGTTCCCAGCATCACAACTGCCTATAACTCCAGCTTCAGGAGATCTGATGCCTTCCTTTGGCCTCCTTAGGTACCCACAGACGTGGCACATGCATACACATGCACATAAATATTTTTTAAGTGATTTGATAAGAAAAAGGAATGAGCCTTTGGAGCCAGAGACTTGAGGCATGCTGGCGATTTCAAGCAGAGGGGTTATGAAATGTTGGTAGATTTGTGAAGTGGAGAGAGAAGCAATATTGGGGATATAGGGATTAGCCGAGAGTATATTATTACATTTATTCATCACTCTGTCCGTCTGTCTGTCCCTGTCCACGGGCCATGGCACACATATGGAGGTCAGAGACAATTCCCAGGAGTTGGCTCTCGCCTTCCGTCATGCGGTTGCTGTCAGCAGGCCTAGCCACCAGCAGTTTACACACTGAGGCATCCCCCTGGCTCAGCATTTGATTTTAAACAGTTTCATGGCTCTGTGGATTTCCACAGTGATGTTAAAAATGTGCTCCTGGACCATGAGATGGTCAGCGTGAAGAGTTTAGGCTCAGGAGAGCTGACTGGAGGGGTGATGGTCAGCCTGTCACATGTCATGGTTGTCACTGCTGGGCCTGGCTTCAGCATTGCCAACAGTGGACAGACACAGGTGGCCTGCATTTTGATCATCTGTAGCTTTAATGTCAGACAAGGGCAGGTCTCCCCTCTGAAAATGAGGTATGATGTGTCATGGGAGACAAATTACAGTTTAATTCACTTCCTTTGAGAAAGACCAGGGCTTAGGAAGAAGTAAGATTCCTGGAGCTACTGTAATATTGAAGTGTGGATATGGAAAATTAGAACGGAAAGGAAAAAACATTCCCAACATAAATCTTACTGCGAGAGCAGCTTCTTCTCAGCACCCACCTTCTCGTTTATGTCCGACTGGAGGGCAGCAGAGAAGACACAGGGGAGGTGGACATCTCTTCAGGTCACTGGCTTCCTGCCGCAGTTGGATGAGCACCAGTAGTTCCCTGGTTAAACAGAATGCACCACCTTTCACCTCAGCGTGGCCGTGAGGGTCAGCCTTAGGATTACCTTCTTCCTTTTACGTTTTATGTTTTCTAATAAAGGACCCGAAGCAGAAGACCATCTATGACGTGTTCCAGCAGTCCTTTGAAGAAGACGGAAATGACATGGAGCTTCTGGAGGCAGCCGAGTCCTTTGACCCAGGAAGTACTTCAGGAACCTCTGGAAGTAGTTCCCAGGATCTGGGAGACTTCTTGGATGAAAACTCCTTGACAGACAGTCCACCAAAGAAAAAGAGATTTGAATTTTTTGATAATTGGGATAGCTTTACCTTTTAAAAGGGTCAAAGAAAAAAAGATGAAGCATTCAAAAATCATGTTATTCATTGAAATAAAGTATTTTGTTTAAAAACCTGTATGCCTTTCGTCGGGCAGTGGAAGAGCCAGGGACAGTAAGTACCAGCATTTCCCTTCCTGTGTTCCTAGACGGCCTGCTTGGAGGCTTAGTTACCTTTAGCTTTTCTGAACTAGGAGACAGTGGCTTAGAGTGTTGTGAGGTATTCACCAGAGAAGATGCTTGGACATGGCCAGTAGAAAGTCCTTATTAGCCAGGCTGCCACTACAGTGGGTGTTCTCAGTGTGGACCGAGCCTTTCTGAGGATGAGCTTTTGAGCACAAAAAGCCATGTTCTGGGTTGATGCACTTCAGTTAACAAGAACAGTTAGCCAGAAGTGGAACTATAGAAGCTAAAAACCAAGATTGGTACATTTAGAGGCTTTCCCAGAACTCTGTGGACGGATGGATTAGGCCTTGGTCTTAGTTTTGGCAGGTGGTATTATCTACATGCTGTGTTTTACAGCCTGAATGGCATTTCCATCATGGAGTCAGTTGTGCTAAGGTCTGAGGGCCTAAGGTCTGTCGTAATTTACAGTCTTGAATAATGAAGTGCTTCCTATTACAACCCCCTTTATCTAGTTAAAATTTCAACAATTGGGGCTGGAGAGGTGGCTCAGGGATTTAAGAAGAGCACTGGCTGCTCTTCCAGAAGTCCTGAGTTCAATTCCCATCAACCACATGGTGACTCACAACCATCTGTAATAGGATTTGTTCTCCTTCTGGCATGTAGATATACATGCCCAGCACTCATACATAAAATATGAATAAAATTTTTTAAAAATTTCAACAACTACAAATATTTATTAAGCACTTCATAGTACCAGGCACTGTCCAGGATAGAAACTTGCTAAACCGAAGAACAAAAATGGCAGCCATAGTGAGTCATCTTTCCTAATACATTCCATTTATAGACACTGAAATGCAAATTTTGATTTTCCTGTCATAAACTTATTTTGATTTTTAAAACCATCGTTAAATGTGAAGCCGGGCAGTGGTGGCACACGCCTTTAATCCCAGCACTCGGGAGGCAGAGCCAGGCGGATCTCTGTGAGTTCGAGGCCAGCCTGGTCTACCAAGTGAGCTCCAGGAAAGGCGCAAAGCTACGCAGAGAAACCCTGTCTCGAAAAACCAAAAAAAAAAAAAAAAAAAAAAAAAGTGAAAGACATTCTGAGGTCACTAACATACAGAAATGGGTGGTGTAGATACTGAGCATGCGCTGTACTTTGCCGGCCTCTGGTTGAACAACAGAATCCAATAGTAATACAATACAAACCACATACCATGATTTTAACTTTTCCAGCAGATTTAGATTTAGAAGCAAGGTCAATGTATTTCTCCTAATACAGTCGACATATTAACATAAGAACTTGCAGTTTTTGAGACCGGGTTTTGTGTACCCCAGGTCTGTCTCAAACTTGCTATGTAGCCAAGGATAACCTTAAACTTCTGATCCTTCTGTTTCCACCTCCGTGATGCTGGTAGTGGGCCCCCTCCCTACCCACCCAGCTCATTAATGGAGACAGCAATCACTCTCTCAGGGAAAAGTCTGGAATGAGTTAAGGACCAGGACATGAAAGGTTGGTTGGTTTGGTTGGTTTTGAGAAAACTGGGAAAGGAACGTTTCTTTGTCACCCACTTCTGTACCCATCTGCAGTCTGTGCTGTGTGTGTTTGGTCTCACGTGCTTTAAGAAACCTCAGGGATCCCTGCCCCGTGACCCGAGGCTGTCTCCAGGGGCTTGAGACCCCATAGGAAAAATAAAAAACACAGGTTGAGACCGCTTCTTATTTTGCAAACTGGATCCATCAAGTCTGATCATCCATTTACCCTTCCTTCCACTTCCCACCAAGTCAGTCCAGGAATATCACCATTAAGTGGCTTGGAGGGGGTTAACTGGAACAGTCTAAAATATCTATTTCCATTTTGTTTTCAGATCTCAGCGTCTCAGTGAGGGAACTAACCTCAGCGAAAGGCACAATGAAGCCTATGAGTCGGGCACTGGGGCACTGTGGGGCAGTGGGGCACAGAGCATGGGGCAGCCGGCAATCACTTGGTTTTGCAGCGTTCTCTGCCCATGTTTCCCTTCTGCTCCCATTCAATGGATTTTATTATCAGCCACTTTTTTTTTTAATTTAAGACATTTTTTTCCATTTTACATACCAACCACTGTTCCCCTCCCCCTGCTTCTCCTGCTGCCCCCCCACCCACCTCCCCACCCACCCCCATTTACTCCTCACAGAGGTTAAGACCTCCCTTAGGCAGTCAACACAGGCTGGCATACCAAGTTGGGGCAGGACCAAGCCCCTCCCGCCTGCATCCAAGCTGAGTAAGGCATCCCACCACAGGGCATGGGCTCTAAAAAGCCAGTTCATGTACCCAGGATAAGTCCTGGTCCCATTGCCAGGGGGCCCACAAACAGGTCAGCCCACACAACTGTCACCCACATTCAGAGGGCCTAGTTTGGTCCCATGCAGGCTCCCCAGCTGTTGGTCCTGTGTTCTCAGTGAGCTCCCACTAGCTCGGGTCAGCTGTCTCTGTGATTTTCCCCATCATGGTCTTGATCCCTTGCTCCTATCCTCCTCCCTCTCTTCAAATGAACTTCAGGAGCTTGGCCCAGTGCTTGGCTGTGGGTCTCTGCCTCTGCTTCCACCAGTCACTGGATGAAGCTTCTATGATGACAATTAGGGTAGTCACCAATCTGACTACAGTTCAGGCACCCTCTCCACCATTGCTAGGAGTCTTAGCTGGGGACACCATTGTGGGTTCCTGGGGGCTTTCCCTAGCCACCAGGTTCCTCCCTAACCCCATAACATATCAGCCACTTTTCAACCCTTTCATTCTGAGGGTGAAATATAGAAAAAGTTTTTAAAACAAGTTGGAGCTTAATTGAGATAAGCACTTATGCAGACATAAGTCTAATGTTACACTATCCAGAAGCATTGTTACTTTCAATGTTCAGCTTCATCCACCTGGGGTGAGACAGATCAAGGTTAATTTTTCCTGGATGACAGTTACTCTCAGCACCACATATTGAAAGACTGCCCATTCAGCTGTGACTCTGGGGGGACACTCATTCACTACTATATATTTGATATAAAATTACTGTAGAAATATACACTTTAAGTAAAAAATGAAAGTCCTAAATTCCCCCTCTCACCCCATGATATTGCTTCTTAGAGGTAATAACTAATATAATTTGAGATGGGGGCATTTATTTATTTCGTATATACCTAAAACTTGCTTTTAAAAACTGCACCAAATTTGTCATACAGAAGTGGTCCATTTCCTATGATGCACTTGTCCACTGTTACAGGTTGGTCTACCCTATCTGTCTTTAGGAGTGACCTGTGATCCTGCCAGAAGCCTTGGCCCTTTAACAAAAACTGGGTGATTTTTAAATGAATTTAAGGAGCTACATACAAAAGGAATGTGTGTGAATCTATTTTGGACACGTTGATTCTCAGTGTCCAGAATTAGCAGTGGAGGCCTTATAGGACCCTGGACAGAGTTGGGGATTTAGCTCAGTGGTAGAGCCCTTGCCTAGCAAGTGCAAGGCCCTGGGTTCGGTCCTCAGCTGGGGGGGGGAAAAAGGACCCTGGACAGTCCCGTGACTCTGGGATAAGCCCTTTATAGCTCTGGCATGAGATGAACTTATGCTTCAGATTTCTTATAAAGAAAGAATAAAATGTTGCATGTGCCCCAAGAGAACCGTTTGGCTCAGCAGCTGAAAGGATCCCTCTCTGGAAGCGACTTTGAGTTCATTATTTTAGAGGTGAAAGGTGTGCTTGGAGTGCTTCCGAAGAATGATGTGATTGATTCAGAAAAGATCTTTACTGAGACTTGGATGGGAGCACGATGTGGTGAACGTCTATAACTCATGGTCCTCTAATGGGATGGGAATTTGCCCATAAATAAGACAAATTGAGACTTTATGAGAGGCACAATTTTCTGCAGCCACTTAGAGCTGACTTTATGGGAGAGCTATTTGTATGTATATCCTCGAGCTTGCTATTTAGAGAGAATTGTTCGGTTTGATGAAATCGCTCCGAGCATGAACAATCCCCTCCTATTATGAAGTGTCTTGTTTTCAGCTTCTCTGTCGCATTCTTCCTCATGCTCTGTCTCTTCTGATCCCCTCCCTGACCCCATCCAGCAGTGAGTCTGCTGAATGGTGATCCAGGTTAGAATAGAGACAGGGTAAACAGTTCGCTCACCATGGCCTAGACCACCTCAGGACCCACCCACCCAACCACCATTGGGCTCCAGTTATGCCTGGTTAGGAAGCCCAGACTGGACAGGAAGGTCATTACAAATTCTTGTTTCTGCACACTGAAACCAGCCAACATCAATCCCGTTTGTTTGCACTAACACAAATAGGTTTGGTTGTGTGGCTTTTGCAAGCAGCCAGTTCACATGGAGAATTTCCCAGAGTTACCTTGGTCCCCTCCTGGAAAGAAGTGGCTGCTCCTGTGGCCTCGGCTATTCTTCCATCCGAAGGGGGCAGAAGGGACCTTGAGCCTGTCATGGAAGAGAGATGCGGTGAGCACATTCCTACCCCTGTATAGGCTTCAGATCCAGTCACTGTGACTCTGGTTGTCTTATTGTGCCCAGGCTAAAGAAATTAAGGAGACTAGAAGGCAGATCCTGAAGCAAGGCAGAGAGAAGACAGGATTGAAAGGCACTGAGAGATCTGAGACCCAGGCAGCAGCATCTCCATAGTATAATCATCACCACAGAGAGCCAATGGCTACTGGACACTGGAGGCTGACTTTATCTTCCCCCTTACAGAGTGTGCGGTATTCTGTACTGCAGAGAAAGCAAACCAATGACTTGAGTTTTCAAAGGCAGCAGGACAGTAGGAGGTTCAGATGTCGCTTACTGGCTTCATAACTTCAGACACATCATGTGATCTCTCTAAACCTCTAGAACACCCCACTGTGCCCACCCCACCCCCCAGTTCTAAAGTGAGTGGATCGACCTTGGAAAGCAAGGAAATCCAAACTTGCAAAACTCTTTACAAACCTTATCACATGATATGTAAAAGAACAAGTCCCAATCAGCAAATATTCTTACCCTTGGTGTGCCAGGCCTTGTTAGGGCACTGGGATGCAAAGACCAACACTGCTCTGCCCTCCTTAGTTATGGTGGTTTCAATACTTTGTTTGGGATTTATAGAAAACTGAGAAGGAGTCCAGATACTTCTGTATATCTTTTCACCCAATATATCAGTGAACCTATACTGATAGTTGAATTAATTTAATTCCATGGTTTACTCAGTTACTATGTCACCTCAGACTTCTCTTGGCATTGACAGATTCTCAAGATTTCTGAGTTTTTGATGTTCTTGACAATTTTGAGAAAGTGTCAGTGAAACATTTTAGGAGCCTCTCTATTAGAATGTCTGATGTTTTTCTCACGGTTAGAACGGAACTATTGGGCTGTAGAGATAATTCAGTAGATAAAGCACTTTCGAGTCTGATGACACGAGCTGGGGTCTCCAGAACCCACATAAATGCAGGGTGGACACGGTAGACCACCTGTAATTCCAGAAGTAGGCAGGTGAAGACGAGAGATCCCTGAGATGAACAGGCTACCAGAATACCTGGGTTTACAAGCTCTGTGGTCAACGGGGAGACCCTATCCTAAAGAATCAAGTGGAGAATGATAGTCACATGCATGTTCACACACATGTGAACATGCACACCATACCCCTGTATGCATCTCCAGAAGTATGACGGGTTATGAATTTGAGGGTTTGGAAGACCATCACATATGGCCAGCGGAGGAAGCCTTGAGTGAATGTGTAAGGAGTGGATAATTCCTGAGTGGGTGTGTACTATTGACAGGAACCATTGCCCCAGACCCATGGGAACTGACAAAGCCTTCCTCAGGTCAGGATCAGAGAGCCCGCAAAGCCTTTGTCTGGTCTCTGTGGGAATATTGACAAAGTGTAAAGAAGGCATTCACTACAGCTTCTCCCTCCTGGATGTCTACGGCTGAGACTGCTTCCCTGCAGAGACCCCTCACACCGACTAGCTAACCTTTCCTTCCATGGCTGTACATAGTCTGAGGTGCTGGGTTGTTGCATAATTGGTCCTGCCCTATCAGAGTAAGCATGGCCCACTTGATCCCAGCTTCTCCATATGTGCATCTGTGTGTTCGTCCTTTATTTTCTTGTCACCCAAGTTAGGTTTCCAGAACCAAGCTGTGCTAGACATGGCTATCACAAAGGTAAAGTATCGCATCATAGCAAGAACACATACCACCAGTATGACATCACTACTAATGTTGACCTTGATCATCTGGTCCAAGGTGGTGCTTGTGAGGCCTCTCTGCTGTAAAGTCCTTCTTTCAGACTTACCATCGTCTTTGGAAGAGAGTTCTGTACACCTCATACTCAAAGACCGGCAGTTATGCTCCTGTTTAATGGGAGACAGAGTGTACATATAAATAACTTAAAAACTGCTCTAAAAGAGATGTTTCTCTTCTTATCATGGACTTATTCAATTATTTCTAGGCATTCATGGATATTAATTTTATTCTTTGGGTTGTAAATCAACACTGTTTTATGAAATCCTGTAACCACGTCTACCGGCGGCTCTTTCAGTCGGCTCCTTTCTGACTTCCCTCCGTTGGTACAGGATTTTCTGGGTTTGAAGATGTTTCCTTCTTCTCTGGCTCCAGGCTCATCTTACACAGTTCCTGCCACAGTGCTAGGGTCAGTTGCTTCTCCAGGGAACTCTGGTTTTGCTTTTTTTTTTTTTCCTGTTGGGGGATGATATTAGAAACCAAGATCTGAGTGGTTGGTGTCCTTATTGCCACTGGGGTTGCTAGAGTTAATTTTGAAAAATGTTGAGACAGGGTCTGAAGTAACCCAGGCTGGTCTTGAACCCACTACATAGCTGAAGATGACCTTGAACTATCGCTTCTCCTGCCTCTACTTCTCAAGGGCTGGAATGGCAGGTATGTGCCACCCCATCCACCTTTGCTGGGACTTTTTTTTTTTTTGAGCTGAGGATTGAACCCAGGGCCTTGCGCTTGCTAGGCAAGCGCTCTACCATTGAACTAAATCCCCAACCCCTGCTGGGACTATTTTTAAGTGGTAATTTCTTCAGATTATGAAAGAAGTGCATCCTAACAGTAACTATCCTAACAGTAGACTCTTTGCTTTTTCTCCTTCTTGGATTTACACAACCAGAGCTCAGGTAATGCACAGAGAGGATAAAAACAGAACTGCTTTTGTTCCATAAGACAAAGTCAGCCATTGTCCCAACGGAAGCTCTCCCTGGAACCACAAAAGCTAGGAAGTACATGGGACCTTAAGGGGGATCTGGCTCAGCCCCTCACTGTAGATACATTGGCTGCTGGGAAGTTGGGAGGTGGTACTTTATATAAGGGACTGTGGCTGACCCAAGGTCATACCATAAGGTAGTTACAGAATCTGGCCTGTACCCTGCCTGATTTATGTTGTGTTTTCAGTGTTACTATGGATGTGGGTTAGTGCCTGCTAACAGTGAAGAGAAACAGCCTTGGGATCGGTGAGCCCAAGACTGTGTTCTAGTTCCACTACTACACTGCTGTGAGATACTGGGTGAGGTTCTGACCTTCTGGGCCTTCAATTCTTCATCCAGACAGTGATATTTACAGCTGTACGGTGTTTGCTATGCGCCAGACACTGTGATGAACACTTTGTATGCGTCCAGCTCATGGACTTTTCACAACTTTATGAAGCAGGTATTATACTTATGCAGATTTTGTAGTTGAGAAACCAACATACAGAAAGAGGAAAGAACTTGTCAACAGCCCTGTAACTGGTAAGCAGAAAAGCCCGATTCTCCAATTACAGACTCTGTGTTCATAAACAACACATGAAATTTTGTTTTGTTTTGTTTTGTTTTTTTGAGACAGGGTTTCTCTGTGTAGCCTTGGCTGTCCTGGAACTCACTCTGTAGACCAGGCTGGCCTCAAACTCACAGAGATCCGCCTGTCTCTGCCTCCGGAGTGCTGGGATTAAAGGCGTGCGCCACCTCTGCTCAGCTGAAATTTGTTATCTTAACAATGCAGATTAAAATAGTTTCAACTGTCACTGATCACAGTGAAAATGAAATGGAACATACACTTAGACGGTTCCCACGACACATCACCTTTCAAATAGTGCCGTCTGGTATTATTGCTCTATCTGCTGCTCTTGAGTTCCTGTGACCCTCTCAGCACAGAACTCAGATCCTGAAGGACGTGGAATGTTTGATTCAGCTACTTCTCCAAGAAAGTAATGAAATGTGTGCCTGCAGGCTGTTGTGAAGAAATGAAAACACACAAGAAATCACTTGAGGTAGTTAATATTTAGTTGTATGAAATGAAGCTAGTTACTTTTTTTCTTTTTTTTCAGAGCTGAGGACCGAACCTAGCAAGCGCTCTACCACTGAGCTAAACCCCCAACCCCAAAGCTACTTATTACCAGAGTTCTGACTGGGAGTATGGTCAGGAAATGCTACACTGCCTAGCAGCATTCTTGTGAATTCTGCCTTGTACTCTTATATTCTAATAGTTACCTGGGCTTTGTTTCTCCTGTCCATCCCTTCAAAAAAGGCAGCCAAAAATTTTAAAATGTGTTCTACATGAAGAAGTAATACCATTTGTTTACTTCCTTCCTGTCCTGAATGAGAAAGCAGACCCTTGCTAGGGAGGAAGATGTTCAGATTTAAGGTTTCAGGCGAATGGTTTCTGAAATGAATAGGAAGAAAGTCCCAGGTGGAACCAAGGGACCAAACCGGAGGCAAAACTGGAGTGACTGTTAATTAGTCCCAGTCTTGCAATTACACTTTTCTTTCTTTTAAACATTTTCTATTATATTTTATGTGTAATGAGCTGCCTGCATGTAACGACTGTGTGTACCAGTTCGTGTCTGGTGCCCAGAAAGGCCAGAAGAGGGCGTCGGATCCTCTGGTACTGAAGTTACAGACGATTGTGAGCTGCCATGTAGGGCTTGAGAATCCAACCCTGGCGCTCTGGGAGGCCAGCCAGTGCTCCTAACCGCTGAGCCATGTCTCCAACCCAACCCCATTTTTCTTGGGAGAATTCCAGACTCTAGGGCATTGATTCTCAACCTTCTTCATGCAGCAGCCCTTTAATACAGTTTCTCATGTTGTGATGACCCCAATCATAAAATTATTTTTGTTGCTGCTTCATAACTAATTTTGCTACTGTTATGAGTCGTAAATATCTGTGTTTTCCAATGGTCTTAGGCGGGCGACTCCAGTGAAAGAATTGGTCGACCCGCTCCAACGGGATCTCGACCCACAGGTTGAGAACCGCTGCTCTAAGGTCTTGCGTTCAAATGGACCCTCTTCCTTACCTTACCCCCAGAGCTCTGAGCAGCAACATTTCATAACTCCTGATTGTGACGAGTACGACTGTCTCCCAGCTGAACTGCAACTTGGCCTGGGAGCGGATCCTAGGCTTTTACTATGGTTAGCATCTGGCTCAGGGGCTGGCGATTTTCGGAAAGTGTCACGGTGGGGTAAGCAATGGGACTCAGCCACAACGTGGTGATGGAAACACTTAAAAAGTAAGTCACCTAAAACCCCGTTTCCTCGCGAACCAGAACGGAAGAAAATAAATCACACCGGTTTTGTATAACGTTGGTGTACGTGCAAGCTAAGAAGGGTGCTCCTCCAGCTTGTGAACATGACATGGGACGCCAGCCCGTCTAGACCCTCCCTAAGGCACCACACCAGCCAGGGAGAGAGCGAGCAAACCTCCAGAACACCGAGTTCAGTGCCTAGAGGGGTCGCCGGCGTCACTTCCGCTCACGGTCTAAAAACCGCCCCCGCGCACGGCGTCTCTTCCTCTCCGGCTTGGGCTTCGGTTCCGGCGACATGGTGAGTGTCGGCGTTCCCGCTTTGGAAGCCTCTATCCGTCGGCATCTGCGGGGCCGTCCGGCCTCCCGCCCTCACCCGCTTCGGGCCGCCCGTGCTGTCCCGTGTCCTGCCGGCTGCCGGGGTCCTCGCCGCGTCTGGAGCCCCGGAGGTGGCCGGTGGCGGCCCGGCGGGGCTTGGCCCAGCTCCGCGGTTAATGCTCCGCTCCGGAGCCCCGCTCGCCCCGCTCGCCCCGCGGACGCTGGCCTTGCGGGTTGAGCTCGGGACGCACTAGGCCCCAGCCAGCCGAATTGGTGCGCAGCGATGTGTGTGTGTGTGCGCGCGTGTGTGCGTGCACGGACTCGCTTCCCATCCCTAAAGGTCGCTGTCATGCCCTCTGCCCGCAGGCGAAACGCACCAAGAAGGTCGGGATCGTCGGGAAATACGGGACCCGCTATGGTGCCTCCCTCCGGAAAATGGTGAAGAAAATTGAAATCAGCCAGCACGCCAAGTACACCTGCTCCTTCTGTGGCAAGGTGAGTTAGTTGGCCGCGCGGGAGGGGATCTAGGGTGCTTTGTAAAGCGCTGGGCCAGTGTTAAGATAACGAGGATTTGGGGTTCATGGTTGCGAAGCATTCCTCGTTTGTGTGAGATCCCTGAGGACGTGAAGGATAACTAACTGGTTTTGGAGAGGGAAAGGTTGGAACCCTGAACGACTCTGTTTGTGGGAAATGATTGTACCGTTAATGCTTCTATACCAACCCCCCCACCCTCCAAGAGTTGGTCTGCATCTAATATCCTGCTCGGATGATTATAATGTGACTGCTTACCAGATAGATAAGCTGCCTTTTTAACCTGGTCTAGGCTCTGAAATCTTGAGAGATTTATGTTTTTACATATTTCATATCAAAACCTTTAAAAAAAAATATTTGTAGACCAAGATGAAGAGACGAGCGGTTGGCATCTGGCACTGTGGTTCCTGCATGAAAACGGTGGCTGGTGGAGCCTGGACCTACAAGTGAGTGCAATTTTTTGTGCTGTGGGGAAGTTTATGGAGCGCACAGCCCATGTTCCAGGTCTGGCACATACTGGGCTAGTTTTAATCTTTATGACTGGAAAAGTAAATGTGCTTTAGGAGTTCTTAAAAGCCAGGGTTTTCTTTCGGTTAAAATTGAGGTAGAAAGCTGTTTGAAATTAAAAATTGGGATTTGATTCTTCTATTACTTTGATTTATACAGTTACTGGGGTCTTTGAAAATTATGGTCTCTCTGTGTAGCCCTGGCTGTCCTGGAACTTAATCTGTAGACCAGGCTGGTCTCTGCCTCCCAAGTGCTGGGATTGAAGGCGACAAGTTATTTCTATAAAATAGTTTTTAAATGAGGTTAGTTGGTTTGGGATTGTGTAGAAAAATTTGTGAGACTATTTGGGCTTCTACGCCCTTGTCCTTTTAAACAAGCTTTAGTGTTGTGACAGGGTTGGATGGTGTTGCTAAGGTGAACTCTCCTTTCTGTCATCATTTGCTTTGTCCTTAGAGCTTGGCATCTGAGAATTAAAGGCACCTTGGGGGCCTGGAGCTGTTGGCTGGCCCTGAGGTCCTTAGGGTCCGAGTAGTGTGGTCCTGTGTTCCCTGCACACTGTGCCTGTGGTGTGTGGCTAGTTGTTGAGTTGTATGGTTTCAGTTTTTACTGAAGTCTTGGTGTTGAAAATGATAGTGTGGCTGGGCTTTGGTGGCCCAGCACTTGGGAGGCAGAGCCAGGAGGATCCCTGTGAGTTCGAGGCCAGCCTGGTCTACAGAGCGAGTTCCAGGAAAGGTGCAAAGCTACAGAGAAACCCTGTCTTGAAAAAAACCAAAAAAAGAAAAAAAAGAGAAATGATAGTGTGGATGTGTTTAAGCATCTTGAGTTTTAGGATAGCAGAAGGAAGAATGAAAGCCAGGGTGCTCTCCTGACAGGTGAATATTCATACACAGCTGTTTGACTTTGGGGCATGCGTCCTGAAACTTTTATCATCCGCCTTTGCTATGGAAAGTACCTTCAGATATTTTTTATTTCTCTCATGGAGTCTGGGTCAGCTTCTTTTTAAATGGTAGAGAAATCAGAAGAACCTTAGAATTCTGCGAGTGCCATCATGCCAGTGTGACTTCCTGAGCAGTGGTCTTTAGTGGTCTTATAGGTCTTGGGATTTGTGCAGCATGGTATTGTATTGGGGGAGGAGACCATCATAGAATTCTTACCAGGAGAAGGTCAGACTTGAGGGTGGCAGGGGAACCCTGAGAGGCAGGTTGGCTTAGGTTTCCCGTGTTACCATCCTTAATTGTGTTGGAAACTTTGTTAACAGCACGACTTCTGCCGTCACAGTGAAGTCGGCCATCAGAAGACTGAAGGAGCTGAAAGACCAGTAGAAGCACCCCGTCAGAGACCTGCCTGTGCTCCAATAAATGGGTTAATTTACGTAACGCCTTTTCCTTGTTTGTGGTTAATTATAACATTTTGGCATATGCTACGTTTTTTTGTTTTTTCTTTTCAGTTTAAAAGGAGATTTTTGCTGTTTGGAGACACTGTGTGACCCTGGCTGGCTTTGAATGCCTGGTCCTCCTCTTTCCGTCTCCTAAGTGCGAGTTTATGCGGTTAGACCTGGCTCAAGATGTTGTTGAAGTTGTAACACGCACTAGACAGTTTAGCGCATAGCCCGCTCCTTTGGGAGTCTGATTGGACTACACGTCAGCAGCAAACTGAAACAACAAGGATTTGGCAGGTTTTCGGTTCATGCAAAGGATTCATAGGATTGAATTGATTGTGATGTACATACTTAGAGGAAACAAGTGATAGGACATAGGTAAGTAACAAAAGGGAATTATAGTTACGATGTAGCAACAACATAACGTGTGGTTGGGGGTCACCACTATAAAAGAAACTAGTAAAGGGCTGTAGCACCGGGAACTATTGATCTAAGGTTTCTGCAGACTCCTGCTGCCTGTGCTCTAGTCCTGCCCAGGCACAGCCTCGGCCTTCTCAGGTGGGTTCAGCTTTTACAGACTTATAGCTGTAACAGCTTCGAATTTCGAGTCACTCCACTCACTGGAGTGTCCCCAGTTAGGATAATTGCCTCCACTTCAGGAATGAGCAATTTTTCACTGAGCTTGAGCCTCAGCAGTTCACCTGTGACAAACATTCTCTTTATATGGATGCGTGTGTATTATGCATGAGAAATTACATGGCTTTTAAGACTTACTATTTCTGTGCATGTGTATCTGTGCCACCACTGTGTACCTGGTTCCTGAAGAGAACACCAGATCCCCTAGAACAAGGTGTGTGCTGCCATGTGGGTGCTGGGAATCAAACCTGGGTCCTCTGGAAGAATACCCAGTGCTCCTAACAGCCAAGCCATTTCTCTAGCCCCCAAGAAATCTAATTTGTCAGTGAGGAGGCTGGGTTTGAATTTGGGTCTTGGCCCCAGAGCCAGGATTCATATTTTAATTGCTTTTGTGGCAGTTGAGCGTATAGCATACAATGGCTGGTGATACCAGTTAAAGGTTGGAGCATAGTGTTTGGTGGCTAAGGAAATGGAAGCCGCGAGTTAGTAAGTGGTGGAGGTAAAGCTGAAGTTAGATCCCTGCTTTCTCAGTTCTCTTAGGTTGCCTTTTACCCTGCCCCTTCCTGTGCTCAGGATTTCCACTTTACTAGGTTTTCTGAGCCTTTAACTGAGCTCATTTAACTGAGCATTACCAGAGCTTGCTTACTTTCCACTCTTTTTCTTTAATTTTTTTGGGGGGAAATGGTTCTGTGTGTGACGGCCCTAGGTGTCCTGTGACTGACTCTGTAAACCAGGCTGGCCTTAAACTCAGAGATCTGCCTACCTCTACCTCCTGAGTGCGGAGATTAAAGTCGGGTGCCACCCCTGCCTGGCCTTGCAGGGAAATTTTATGTGGCTCTGGGTGTGAAACAGTTACTGATGATTGTAGTTTTACCATTTACAAAGTAGAAGCAAATGAGATGTTTGTTTCACATAAAGAGTTAAATCTTGGTTCAGACAGTGGGTGGGAGGGCTTGCTGTGAAGCCTGCAATCTTGAGTTTGATCCCTGAGACCTACATGGTAGGTTAGAGAATTGACCTCGTGTAGAAGTTATACTTCCTTCCATGTACATACCTGCACGCACGAACACGTAAGTATAAGAACTTGGTTGGAGTCGGGCGGTGGTGGTGCATGTCTTGAATCCCAGCACTCGGGAGTCAGAGGCAGGTGGATCTCTGAGTTGGAGGCTAGCCTGGGCTACGGAGTGAGTTCCAGGAAAGGTGCAAAGCTACACAGAGAAGCCCAGTCTTGAAAAACAAACAAAAAAATGGTTGGGTGTTTGATGTATCCATATAGATGTAGAACACCGTTCAGAAGTGGTGTTTGACTTTATGATTGGCAGTGCTGGGAATGTCAGAATGACAGTAGGCCCATTTGGGAAATTGCCCTAAACACAACCCAAAGTTCATTTCATTTTAAATGAAACTTAAGCCAACTACTCAACAGTTTTTAAATTCAAACATTCTAGTATGTATAATGAATCCGAAGATAGGTTAGTTTGATAGGTGTTAAGGAATGTTAGAAAATTAATAAAGCCCTTATTTTCTGTGGCTAAGACATCTTTCTGTGAAAGCCTTGAATCTGAGGTGTACAGTTAACAGCTGTGTGTGTGTGTGGCGAATCCCATCAGTGTAGAGGATGTGTTGGGAGCTAAGCATTGACTTTAAGATTTCAGGTTCCGTGATTTTACCTCTCAAGACTTGTGAACTTTTCACGGCCCCCCTGTTCAGTTCTGAAAGGCTATGTGGGGTAAGCTTGCAGACCATCTACCCTTACAAAGCACTTCTCGGGTTGAATAGTGTAGTCAGGGATTTGTACTGAGCTTTTGTTTAAAGGATTGTAAGTGTTGAGAAGGGATTTTGAACCAAATTAAGATGGGGAATAATATATAACAGCTATTTTGACATGGGTTGGAACCAAAGTTAAGTAGTTTTTTTGCTGTAATTGTCTCCTGGGAAACAGTCATTTTGTAACTTGCAGCATTTCAGCCCCAAATTTGTGGACCGGAAGTAAAAGTTAAGTCAAAGGTCATGATGTTAGTCCCACAGCTAACCTTGTAGGTGAGGGCCCCTGAGAGTGAGTCAGAGTTACATGTGTGGTAGATGATAGAGACCTACAGGTCTGTTAGTGGGTAAGACGAATTCCAACCAAAATTTGCTTTTCCCCCTGAACTGCAAAAGTGCTTTTCAATATAATTTGGGAACAAAATCGGAGTCTAAGTAAGTATATCATAGTAGGCAGGATTTCTCTAGGTAGGGGTTGGGATTAATCTCCTCTGTGAGATTAATTATTGATAAATTACTGGCTATGTGAGCTGTCCTTTGATAAGTTAGTCCTTTTCTGGAGTTCACTTTTCTCACCTATAAGAATGTGGATAGTTGCCCTTCCGAACAGGAAACCTTAAATTTGGATCTAGAACATTGACTCATGGTAAGGTCTAGAGAGTCTGGCTTTTGGGAAAGAAGTAATACTCTGTAATACCCACTGAGGGGCTGGAGAGATGCCTCAGATGGCTGAGAGCGCAGTCTAGTCTTTCAGAGGACCTTTTCAGTCCCCAGCACACTACCTTCTGTAATTCTAATTTCAGGGGCCAGTGCCCTCTTGGTCTCTAGGCACATGAGGTTCACAGACGGACATTGGGACAAACAGCATTAGCATTGGCGGGAATGACAAAATGGCCCAACAGGGAAGGCACTTCCTCGTCCCCAAGTGTGACTGTTGTGGAAGGAGAGACACCTGCAAGTTGTCCTCCGGCCTGCACACATACAAATGAGAAACACTGGTGCTGTGTTGGTGGGAGGGGAATAGTGGTCTGGGCAAAAGGGGGGGGGGAGATAGCAGTGGATTATGTCAGGGAAAAAGCCTGGAGGTGAGGAAGTCGGATTCGCAAGCACATCTTTTGGTGCAGGGGTAAATGATCACTTAGTAGTCTAAAGGTGGGGGCTTCCAAGTTAAGCACCCCTTCATATTCCACCTCAGTACTGTCACATGGCAAGTTCAACTTAGCAGAGTTGAAGGAAATGACATTCTATGCACAGCCAACACAGGGATCTGAACACCTACTAAGCATTTGAAAAGTTGATTGCTCCTGGTCCTTCATATAATGAACACAGCATTAAGTGTCTGTGCATCAAAAATGCAGTGTAAATGCTGCTCCTTGACCTATAAAGTTGTCAAATCAGATGATGAATATAGCAGCATTCCACTGTCAAGTAGACATATTACACAGAATTGCACCAGGGACCTTTTGTGAGGTCACTGGACTATAAGCAGACCATCTGATATGCTAAAAAAATGGACAGGTAAGGCACAAAACCAAGAAAGCATGTCTCTTGTGTGGAGTCTAGGAACTGCAAGTCAACTACCAGGGCATGCTTAGATTCCTATGGAATGTAGATGTAAGTCTGCTCAGCCTGCCTGTTTCTCCCTTTGGTATGTTTTCATTTAGGGAGTTCTTTGACAGCTAACGGAAGAGAAAAGCACTCTGTAATCTATGCATTGTTGGCATCAGCTGAAAGTGGACAGATAGCGCTGAAAGAGGAGAAACAAAGTCCTCCAGTGGGCTGGGGCACGATTTCAGGTCGTGTCCAGTGCATGTAAAGGGACGCCTTGAAGTAGAGCTGTATATTGACAGTGGCTGCTGAGAAGAATGGGAGACTGGATTTAGGAACGAGGCAAGGCTATTGAAGGGGTGCAGGCATGCCCAACAGTAAGTTGCTGCAAGGCCATTGCTTTCATTAAAGGACTGAGGATGTCAGCTGTTGTCCCCACCACCACCTTGATGCTCGTTCTAAGGACCTGGGAACAAAACAATCAGGATAGCATAGATTGAGCCTCCAGCGTGGCAAACATTTCTGGGGTTATCGTCTGGCCAAGTGATTGTATCGGATGTCTTTTATTATGCAAAGACAGCAGTATGCCATCTTACTGGTAGATGTGGAGGCAGGTGTGTAATTTAGTGTTTAAGTGTACAAGGCCCGAGGTTCTTTCCTTAGCACTGACCCCTTCCCCAAAAAAGTATGCTGTGTTTGATCTGTGTTGCAGGTATGGATTTACCTTTTGTTTTTATTTTGAGACAGGATTTCTCTGTTGAGGCTCTGGCTATCCTGGAACTCAATCTGTAGACTAGTCTGGGATCAAAGATGAGCACCACCACTGCCCAGCTTGGGTTTGCCTTTTTCTTCCTTTCTTTCTTTCTTTCTTTCTTTCTTTCTTTCTTTCTTTCTTTCTTTCTTTCTTTCTTTCTTTCTTTCTTTTTTTTTTGAGACAGTGTTTCTCTATCATTTTGGTATCTGTCCTGGATCTCACTCTGTAGACCAGGCTGGCCTCGAAGTCACAGAGATCCGCCTGGCTCTGCCTCCCGAGTGCTGGAATTAAAGGTG